CAAATGGTGTTCTAAAGTAAGCTGGGGGTCCAGGAGGACTCCCAAATTGCGAACCCTCTCTGAGGGTTCACCCCCCAGCCTAAGAGATGGAATACTTGGCCAATCTTTGGGAGGGAACATCAGTAGCCACTCAGTCTTGTCTGGATTGAGGGCCAACTTGTTTATTCCCATCCAGACCCTAACAGCCTCCAGGCACTGGCCCATCACTTCTACTGCTTCCTTATATGTGTGCATTTGTGTTATTATTATTATGGTTCATTGCACAGGCAGCCAGGGGTTCAGGCTGGATCTGGCATTTTTGTCCCCCTGCCGAGTCCTTCCCAGAGACCTGGGATAGCCTGATATGGATGTTGGATGATATTAAAGGTATTGTTGCAGGAGGTCGGCTGTTTTGAGAAAAGCTGCCTTTTGCAATTGACTGATGGGGATATTGTCAATGCCGATGGTTGTTCAAGCAGCACTCCGGTTGTTTTGGGATTGCATCCAAGGCACCTATTACTATTGGTGCTACCCAGGGGTGGGTTGCTACCGGCATTACGTTCTCCGTGCACATTTACGCCTAAAAAGGTCTGCACATGCGTGGAACGTAAAAAAAGGGGGGGAAATTACATTTCTGCAATGGAGAACGTTCTGCACATGTGCAGAAGCAAAAATCAAGATGGCATCACCAACAATAGAACTGGTTCGGGTGCGTGGGTGGCCGAGTTACTACCTACTTGGCCGAACTGATAGGAACCCACCTCTGGTGCTCCCTTTGCTTTCTTTTGCCACAATCTTTATTTCTATTTGCAGGTCTTTTGCATTTTGTAATCTTCTCCAGTTGTTTCTGCTGCCTCCAGGTCCTGCCACGCCCACTATCCAGACTTTTTTGCCACCCGACTCACAGTTCAAGGCAACAATAGGATAATGCGATGCACATAAAAACATGCACAGACCGGGCCATCCTATCTCAGCCATCCTATCTCGCATTGTCATCTTTTCTGCCTCCCTCTTCAAACGTTGTTGGAAAGTCCCTCTCTCCTTCGGGCTGTTTTTATTTTTTGTGACTGAAAAGTGCAGGATGGTAGCCTCACTGTTTTTGTTCCGTTCAATCCTTGTTTCCAGGGCAGAAGGAAGAAGCTCAAATGGAAATCACAGAGATCAACAGGCACTTCTTAACGAAGATGGCCTTTCTGTCGGAGATGAAAGACCACGTCCTGTACAAAGGAGAATATTACAAAAGTCCGGTGGCCGTCAAAGTCTTCAAAAACCCCGTGACCATCAACACCAAGTGAGTGAAGAAGGGCGGTTGTGGGGATGGTAGAAGCTGTTAGACTCGAGTCGAAAACTTAAGCTGACTTTTTCCTCCAGCTGCTGCCTCCACTTTGTACTTTTCACATTGTTTATCGCTGCTCTTCCCACCTCCTGCTTTTGTCCTTTGTCCAGTGAAGTCGGGGAAAGAGGTCTTCACAGCCAATTTGAGGTGCTTAAGGCACCAGGTTGGGGAACTGAGTTATAGTCCTGTCTTAGACACAAAGCGAGTAGGGTGACCTTAGGCCAGTCACTTTCTCTCCACCCTAGGAAAGAGGCAATGGCAAGCCACTTCTGAAAAAGATTGCCAAGGAAACTGCAGGGACATGTTTTTTAACATTCAACCAGGGAGGATAATTTTAACAAATTTAACAGATTAACAGAGCTGGAAGGGACCTTAGAGGTCTTCTAGTCCAACCCCCTGCCCAAGAAGGAGACCCTACACACTTCTGACAAATGGCAGTCCAGTCTNCTAGAACTCACTGTCTCCTGGTGATTGGCCCAAAGTCACCCAACCCAGACTAGAACTCACTGTCTCCTGGTGATTGGCCCAAAGTCACCCAACCCGGACTAGAACTCACTGTCTCCTGGTTATTGGCCCAAAGTCACCCAGCCAGCTTTCATGCCTAAGACGGGACTAGAACTCACTGTCTCCTAATGGTTGGCCCAAAGACATCCAAATAGATTTCATGCCTAAGGCCAAACTAGAACTCACCATCTCCCAGTTTCCAGCCTGGTGACTTTGCCTCTAGACCAAACTGGCTGTTTGCTGACTCCCAGTTACATCCACTCCCATCAGGCTCTTAGATACTTGCCCTTGGGGATTCCAAAGCTACTGGGTGTAAGTGGCTGGAGTAAGGAGGAGAGCATGTTGAGAGAGCCTACTTCCCAGGCCCTCTGCTATCTCCATTTTGACTCCCTCAAGTGTGCAGAGAGTTTTGTGTGAAAACGGTACCGGCCAGCACAGAAGCCTCACCTGATGTGAAGGAGGCAAACAGCTGGGTTTTGCCCTGGGCAAGGGTGGTGTAGCAGTGCTGGCTGAGGAAAAACACCACCGGTAGCCAGAATATACAGACCACGTGCCTGGAAGAAAAACAAGGGTCAAACTGGTTTGGGATTTGCGACACATCCTGCCATCGAAATCTGGCCTTCAAAGGGGGGCGAAGCAGCTTTTTCAGATTCTGCACTGAATCTGCACACAAAGAAACTGGCAGGACCATTTCTCTGACTTCCTTCAGGGACAATCCCTCCAGGAGAAGATTCCCCCCCCCCCCGGATAAGACCACCATGCAGTGCTGGGTTCCGGTCCCCGTGGCAACCGGTATACTGCGCACAAGGCCGGGTGTCCTAGGCGGGCACGCTTGCTCGCCCCATCCCCTGCGACACCCAGCTATTCAGCAGAGGTTGCACAGGTGTCACACGCTGTGCACATGTGCACAATTGGCTGGTCACATTATAGGTATGGAATGTGGGTGGCCCAAACTAGCCAACGTACCGGTACGGTGGCTGCTGCTCCTGGTTACTACCGGTACGACTGTACTGGCTAAAACCCACCACTGCCACCATGTCTGAAAAGGCCAAACACAAAGGCTTCTTTCCTGATCTTGGGTTTTTTCTGGAAGCCGAGGGGGCCGTTTGTGAAAGATCTTGTTTTACCCCACTTCAATCGTGTCTGATTCTCAGAGGCTGCCTGGGGAAGTCCCTGCTATTTTCTTGGCAAGACTTTTCAGGCATGATTTGAAGAGGAAGTGACTGGCCCAAGGTCATCCAGCTGGCTTTGTGCCCAGAGCAGGACTCAGAAGTACGAACTGCCACAGGAGGTACTAAGCCAACCTCAACTGATCTTGGAAACGCTAAACAGATTCAGAGCTTGAAGGGGAGACAAACAGGAGATCTCAAGACAAACGAACAAGACTGGGGAATAGGAAAAGAACAGACTGATGGGGCCCATGCAGTCCAAGGAATGAGTTTGCCTCTGCTCTCTCTAAATCAGGGATGGGGAATGATGGCCCCTTTGTGACTTGTGGACTTCGTCTCCCAGAAATCCTGAGCCAGCCATGGCTCAGGAATTATGGGAGTTGAAGTCCATAAGTCATAAAAGGACCGCCGTTCCCCATCCCTGCCCTAAATGAAGCTAGGTCTCCCTCCCCAGAGCTGGTTGCTACTGGTTCATACCAGTTCAGGCAAATCAGTGATAATCAAACTTCTGGCAGTTGGCAGAATTAGCCTGCAATATTGCATTCTAACCACTGCGCCACCATAGCTCTGCCACTGTTGAAGGCACTGGATAATCCATTAAGAAAATATTTCTGAAACAATGATCCAAAGTGTCCTGGGTTGCCTCCTTCTTACTCTAAATTCATTTTTATTTTGTCCTAGCCTTGGTTATCTAAGCAGAGTGGTAGTGGAGATAAAAAAAGATTGCAACTGTAATCAAGGAATCAAAAACACGTTCCTTCTTCATATGTATCAGTGCTCTCCACCCACATAGCAATAGCACATAGACGTTTATAGTCCTTTACAGCCCTCTCTAAGCAGTTCACAGATTCAGCCTCTTGCCCCCAATAATCTGGGTTCTCATTTTTCCAACCTCAGAAGGATGGAAGGCTGAATCAATCATGAGCCAGTCAGGATCAAACTGCTGGCAGTTGGCAGAGTCAGCCTGCAATATTGCATTCTAACCACTGCGCCACCATAGCTCTGCCACTGTTGAAGGCACTGGATAATCCATTAAGAAAATATTTCTGAAACAAGG